CATATTCAAATATTCATATGCTCACCATTACTCCTTTATCCATGACTTCGCTATTCTTGGATATTTTTTTCCTCCTAAGCTTTATATACTTTAGTTTTAAGAATCAAACTGTCACAGCTTGTTATAAAAAAGCAGGCCCTCCTCTGCTACCCTTATTTCCCGTTTCTCAGAGCAACCGTTTTCAATTCTTTAAGTTGATTCTTAACATTGCTATCCCTGGACTTTTCAGCTATTGATATCTATTTACTTTCTACTGTTCATGTCATACTTCACTCCCTGGCTACATGGTTGTTGATTTAGAATTTCCCTTTAGTGACTTTCCAAGAATTATTTTCAACTGTCTACTGGGTTTAACCCCCTAATGCCTGCATTTCTTTTTTATTATTTTATTCACTTGGCTGTGGGCTTCCCTGATAGCTCAGTTGGTAAAGAATCCGCCTGCAATGCAGGAGACCTCGGTTAGATTCCTGGGTTGGGAAGATCCTCTGGAGAAGGGATAGGCTATCTGATGAAGTATTCTTGGGCTTCCCTGCTGGCTCAGCTGGTAAAGAACCCACCTGCAAAGCAGGAGACCTAGCTTCGATCTCTGAGTTGGGAACATCCCCTGGCAAAGGGAAAGACTACCCATTCTAGTATTCTGGCCTAGAGAATTCCATGGACTATATAGTCCTCGGGCCCGCAAAGAGTCGGAAAGCAACTTTCACTTTCACTTAGTTGTGGAATGTATGTTCCAGAAGCTTTCAGGAAAGTTTACATTTTGACAACTCACATATCTGAAAATATCAGAACCTACTTTCGACCTTAATTAACAGTATAGAATTGTAGGTTGAAAAAAGTTTTCCTTCTGAATTTTGAAGTTAGAGCTCTATAATCTTCATGCTTTTATAGTTTCTGCCAAGAATTCTGATGACATTTTGATTATAAATTTTTGAAAGAAAACTCTTCTCCTACTCTCCCATCTTCTGAAACCTTTTGGATTTTTTCTTTGTCCCTAGTATTTTGAAATTTCATGGTAATTTGATATAATCCTGATCTTATTTTTATTCATTGTGCTGACATTTGGTGGGTCCTTTTAATCTAGAAACTCAGGTGCTTCAGTGTCTGAAATTTTTCTTAGATTATTTCTTTGATAATTTTCTAGCCTTTTTACCCTCTTTCTGGGGCTCCTGTAATTTTGATATTAGGCTTCCTAAATGTAGTCTCTATTTTTTTATCTGTTTCTATCTATTTTTTTGTCCTTTAGTATTTTTAAAAATGACTTTCTTGGTCATTTTCTCAAGTTTATCTTCCAATCTTCTACTGAATTATTTATTTCTGCAGTTATATGTATAACTGATTTTTAATTATCTAGTTATTCCTTTATATAACATCTTGGTTTTATTTCTTACAAAATTTTCTCCAAATATAATAACCTGTTTTAGTTTTTAGTCTCTTTCCTCAAATGTTTTCTCTGTTTATTTTGGCAATATTTCATATTAGATACTTGTCTCAAATATATGTTAATCTTTCAGCTCAGTGTCTGTTAATATTTAAGACAGGATGTTAAAGAGCTGACTGAAGCTCACTATGAAAGAGATATCTGTTGACAATGATTTTAACTATAGGCTGTGCTATTTAGGTGGTTTTGTTGAGAGAATTCAAGTTACCATTACGTTTAGATATTTTTTCTTGAACTGGTTAGAGTTCCTCGGTGTAGAGAAACTTCATTTGTTTTACATGAACATATTCTGGGCTGGGGAAAAAATCAAGTGGGGTAGGGGAAGAGTTCAGCATATACATTTTTAGAATGTGCACATGCTTTCAACAGTATCTCAGTTTCACTAATCCAGAAAATTTAGCAGTTGGGGAAGACACTGGGATGTAGTTGCTTCAATCCTTTCATTTCAGTTCAATCGCTCATTCATGTTCAACTCTTTGCAACCCCATGAATCGCAGCATGCCAGGCCTTCCTGTCCATCACCAACTCCCGGAGTTTACTCAAACTCATGTCCATCGAGTCAGTAATGCCATCCAGCCATCTCATCCTCTGTCATCCCCTTCTCCTCCTGCCCCCAATCCCTCCCAGCATCAGGGTCTTTTCCAGTGAGTCAACTCTTCTCATGAGGTGGCCAAAGTATTGGAGTTTCAGCCTCAGCATCAGTCCTTCCAATGAACATCCAGGACTGATTTCCTTTAGGATGGACTGGTTGGATCTCCTTGCAGTCCAAGGGACTCTCAAGAGTCTTCTCCAACACCACAGTTCAAAAGCATCCATTCTTCGGCACTCAGCTTTCTTCACAGTCCAACTGTCACATCCGTATATGACCAATGGAAAAACCATAGCCTTGACCAGACGTACCTTTGTTGGCAAAGTAATGTCCCTGCTTTTCAATATGCTGTCTAGGTTGGTCATAACTTTCCTTGCAAGGAGTAAGCATCTTTTAATTTCATGGATGCAATCACCATCTGCAGTGATTTTGGAGCCTAAAAATGTAAAGTCTGACACTGTTTCCCCATCTATTTCAAATGAAGTGATGGGACCAGATGCATTGATCTTGGTTTTCTGAATATTGAGCTTTAAGCCAACTTTTTCACTCTCCTTCACTTGCATCAAGAGGCTCTTTAGTTCCTCTTCACTTTCTGCCTTAAGGGTGGTGTCATCTGCGTATCTGAGGTTATTGATATTTCTCCCGGCAATCTTGATTCCAGCTTGTGCTTCATCCAGCCCAGCGTTTCTCATGATGTACTCTGCATATAAGTTAAATAAGCAGGGGGGCAATATACAGCCTTGACGTCCTCCTTTTCCTATTTGGAACCAGTCTGTTGTTCCATGTCCAGTTCTAACTGTTGCTTTCTGACCTGCATACAGATTTCTCAAGACCAGACCACTTGAGAAATCTGTATGCAAGTCCAGTGGTCTGGTATTCCCATCTCTTTCAGAATTTTCCACAGTTTATTGTGATCCACACAGTCAAAGGCTTTGGCATAGTTAATAAAGCAGAAATAGATGTTTTTCTGGAACTCTCTTGCTTTTTACATGATCCAGCAAATGTTGGCAATTTGATGTTGGCAGGTCCTGTGCCTTTTCTAAATCCAGCTTGAACTTCTGAAAGTTCATGTTTCACATACTTTTCAAGCCTGGCTTGGAGAATTTTGAGCATTACTTTGCTAGCACATGAGATGAGTGCAATTGTGCAGTAGTTTGAACATTCTTTGGCATTGCCTTTCTTTGGGATTAGAATGAAAATTGACCTTTTCCAGTCCTGTGGCCACTGCTGAGTTTTCCAAATTTGCTGGTATATTGAGGGCAGCACTTTCACAGCATCATCTTTTAGGATTCAAAATAGCTCAACTGGAATTCCATCACCTCCACTAGCTTTGTTTGTAGTGATGCTTCCTAAGGCCCACTTGACTTCACATTCCAGGATGTCTGGCTCTAGGTGAATGATCACACCATTGTGATTATCTGGGTCGTGAAGATCTTTTTTGTACAATTCTTCTGTATATTCTTGCCACATCTCCTTATTATCTTCTGCTTCTGTTAGGTCCATACCATTTCTGTCCTTTATTAGCCCATCTTTGCATGAAATATTCCCTTGGTATCTCTAATTTTCTTGAAGAGATCTCTAGTCTTTCCCATTCTATTGTTTTCCTCTTTCATATTTTATTTTAATTATGGTGTCTGCCTTTCTGTACTCATACAGGACTTGTAGTTTAACAATTAAATTTATCATTTAATTATATCCTTATTAGTATCTCATGTATGCTTTTATCCATATTGAGCCTGCTTCTCCCACAAGGTAATCTTCAAAGGCAATGGTCATACTACAAAACAATGTTAACATTTTTTTTAGTGTTTACTATATGCTGGGCACTACTATCCAGTATCTAGCATATTCCTAGATGCTTACTATCTATCACATATTAGGGGTAAGATGCATTATGTATCAAACAGCATAGTACCTATAAAAATTTAGAAAGAAAATATAATGGATTAGATGTGGGCTTCAGAGTCAGACAGGTCAGAAGGTCAGGTATTGACACTTGGCTCTTTTTAGTAGCTAAGTGATGTTAGGTAAATTACTGAATATCTCTGAGACCACATTTCTCTTGAAAAATGGGTATTCTTCATGTGGTTTTTATAAAGTATCTTCACATAGTAGATGCTTAATGGTAATTTTTTTATATATATTTACTTTTTATTTTACTTATTTGACTGTGCCAGGTCTTAGTTGTAGCACATGAGGATCTTTGATCTTTGTTGCAGCATGCAGCATCTTTAGTTGCAGCATGTGGGATCTAGTTCCCTTATCAGGGATCAAACTCAGACCCTCTGAATTGGGAACACAGAGTCTTAGCCACTGGACTACCAAGGAAGTCCCAACAGTTTTTATTTATACTCCAAAAATTGATTATTCTAGACAGATATCATTTATAGAATGTCCTAGCTTTCCTCATAGCTCAGTTGGTAAAGAATCTACCTGCAATGTTGGAGATCCCGGTTTGATTCCTGGATTGGGAAGATCCGCTGGAGAAGTGATAGACTACCCACTCCAGTATTCTTGGGCTTCCCTTGTGGCTCAGCTGGTAAAGAATCTGCCTGCAATGTGGGAGACCTAGGTTTGATCCCTGGGTTGGTAAGATTCCCCTGGAGAAGGGAACGGGATACCCACTCCAGTATTCTGGCCTGGAGAATTCCATGGACTATACAGTCCATGGGGTAGCAAAGGGTTGGACTCGACTAAGCCACTTTCACTTTCACTTTCATCTGTCTCAATCAAGATGTAACTCTTCTTTCTGACCTTTGTCTGATATAGATCTGCTCCATTATTGGTCTTACAAATACATTCTGCAAAGTGCAGTTTATCTAATCAACTGCCCCAGAAAGGTTCACAAGGCTTATCAATATCTAATATGAACACATTATTTACTCTTAATAGCCGGTATTACCGTGTAATCTATATTTGGATTTGAAATCCACTTCACTTAAATAATCATTGGATCATTTCCTTATCTCACAGAAAACAAGACCTACTATTACCAAGGTAGCTTTAAAGTGCTGAATATCCCAAATAATAGAAATTATGGAAAGGAGACATCACCAGAAAATAACTATCTTAGCAAAATTCTTGAGACGAAGGTAAATTAGTATTTTCTTATATTTAGTTCATTGTTAATTCTCTGAAACATAAATTTATTACTGGAATTTGATGTTTGACTCTGTGTTCTCTTTAACAGATGTCTGATGCATTTCAGAGTTCTAGCATTTACAGACAATACATCAATTCTCAAGTCATCACACTGGTGTAAGTAACTAACAACTGTTAGAAAAGATACAAACCTATCACATGTATCATTCTATTTCAAATACCACTATAAAAAGAGTCTGTTGACAGATTACAATCATTAGCCAGTAAGTTACTAATGAATGACATCATCCTAAGCTAAATATCAGGCTAATTGTTTAGCATACAACTAAAGCAAAGTTTGAGCTATTTAGTGAAGTTTATTTTTAGTCACACTGAGAATACATTATTTCTTAAATTACATATGAATCATTTCTCTAGTATTTAAAGTTTTTATGTTCAGCAAATACTAACTGGTCTCTTAGACCAATGTTTGATGGTATAACATTTTTATTTAGCTGTAACATAAATACATATCCTGTTTTTTCATGCTTTTCTATTCTTGTAAGTTAGTTAAACACCTTGGAGAACTGCCCTAGAGTTCTTTTAGGGTAGAAAAGAGCATATCTACACCAGACTTTGATGCCAAGTAAATCCTTTTAGTGGCCCCAACAGGAAGCAAAATAGCTGTGCTGTGTTTTCTGCACAAGTTTGCAGAAATATGGACTAGCTAATGGAGCTCTGTGTGCTGTACTTCATAGCTGTTGTGTCTGATTCTTTGCGACCCCATGGACTGTAGCCCACCAGGCTCCTCTGTCCATGGGGATTCTCCAGGCAAGAATACTGGAATGGGTTGCTATGGCTTCCTCCAGGGAATCTTCCCAACCCAGGGATCAAACCCAGGTCTCCCGCACTGCATATGGATTCTTTACTGCCTGAGCCACCAGGAAAGCCCAAGAACACTGGAGTGGGTAACCTATCCCTTTTCCAGGGGATCTTCCCGATCCAGGAATTGAACTGGAACTCATATATTGCCGGCAGATTCTTTACCAGCTGAGCCACCAGGGAAGTCCAATTGAGCTCTGGAATAGGAGTTAAACAACCTGATGCAGCTTTGCTACTTAGTAACCCTCTTGAATGAATCACTACGTTACTCTGACTCTGCTTCCCTGTCTGTGAATAGTGATAATAACACATACACTGCGTTCCTCATAAAACTATACTCAAGATCAAAAAAGATAATGTGTATGGAGATATTTGCAAGTTAACACTTTTCCAATGAAGGCTATTATCGCTTTTACCTTAATCAAGGCCACCAGACTATGTCTGCCCTTCTTCCACTGCTCCTGGAACTCAAGCGGACTCCTAGAATTGCAGAATTGTTCAAAAGCTCAACTAGAATTAATTTTGGGAATTGATTTTAGTATTGGAAACAGTGGGAGGCTAACACTAAAGGGTATCTTTCAAACAGGACTGCAACCACCCTAAGGCTTCTGCTTGGTTTTCCCACACACGTAACTTTGGGTATCTATAAAAAGTGTGAGCTCGTGGAAAGTGATGGAGAGGCTACAGGTCCGAGGTTTTCATTTGGGCACACCTTGCTGATGGCTCAGACAGTAAAGAATCTGCCTGCAATGTGGGAGACCCAGGTTCAATCCGTGAGTCTGGAAGATGACCTGGAAAAGGGAACAGCAACCCACTCCAGTATTCTTGCCTGGGAAATTCCATGGATAGAGGAGCCTGGTGCACTACAGTCAATGGGGTCACAAAGAGACACGATTGAGCTTCTAATACTTTTGACTTTCAACTGCTACTATAATCAAACTTGTATTAGCTGAGTGCTACCTAGGAATGACTATTTATTTATATAACAAAAGATAATCATTCATTAGAAAGATCTAAAGCATAGTAATACCACTTCGGACACTAACCTCAGAGATGCTTGAAAATTCTTACAACTCCATTAGCCAGCCTCTTGGACTGCCCCCACCTGCATTCCAATACCAACCAAATCTGTCCTGAACATGACAGTCAGGTTAATTTTCCACAAGCACAGTTTTATTCAACAACTTCTCTTTACCACTACCCCTTGGCTAACATTCAAATCCTCTTCCATCTGAGCTCAGTCCCCTAGACACTGTTGTCACTGGCTAACTGGGCATAGAGACAGAGTGCATAGTGTAATGAACCTGGGTTAGGGAGTCAATTGTACTGTATCTGGATCTTAGTTTAATTACTGTGTAATCTTTAGCACATTGCATGTTTAGGTGCTCAGTCATGTCTGACTCTTTGAGATGCCATGGACTGTAGCCTATCAGGCTCCCCTCTTCATGGGATTTCCCAGGCAAGAATACTGGAGTGGATTGCCATTCCCTTCTCCAGGGGATATTCCCAACCCAGAGATTGAACCTGGGAAACCTGCATTAGCAGGAAGATTCTTTGCCACTGCACCGCCAGGGAAGCCTCCCTCTGAGCACATTAGGTAGGCTTTCAAAGTCTCAAGTTTTCCTTGGCTGCAAAAGGAAGATAATGACACCTAAGGTGCAGGGTTGTTGTGGAGACTAAGTGTGATAATAAATGTGATAACGTAGTACCTGGAACACAGCAGATACCCAGTAAATGCTAATTAATATTATTGCTATCCAGTTATTCTGCAGTACTATTCCTTCTTTGCTCTGTTTGATAAGCAATTTTTGCTTGATGATGAAATAGTGATAAAAATATTTTAAGGTCTAGTGTGTATGTTAACTCTTCAATAAAAATTTCTCTGATAATTTAAGTAAACCATGACTTGTCTTATTTTCAGATAAGATAAACAGCTATTGCTTTGCCTCATTTATTATAAGTCATTTGTATAGATGACATCTCTCTTAGAAATCTGGAAACTTCTTGAGAGTAGGAACTATGTTATAGTCACCCTTGTATCATCCCATAACATCTCGTCACTTTTCATAGCAGCTCAATAAATTACTGATGAATGTAGGAATAAATGATCCCAGTTCCTATGTGATACTTCTACTCTGTGCCTCAAGCCTTTCCTACATTTTTAGATGTGTAGAACCACTTGTCTTCTAAACTGAATAGCTGTATGCACACCGTCACCCAGCAAACGTAGGCAGCTGGATGATCCTGTGATTAACTTAAAGTGAAGGTACTACACACACCTACAAAAGAACAGAAGTGAAGATATAAGAGGTCAGGGAATAAAGACAGAGTGTTCATTTTTAGCAACATGTGAAATCTTTACTGTGTTTTTAGTCCTGCTGACGACAGTGTGACAGCACATATATGGCTGGTATTCAAGTCGCCCAAATCAGTGAAGGAAAACACAAGAAGAGCAATTGAAAGCATCTTACGTCAAATGCTGAGGAACCACTCAGGATCCTTGACTACAGATCCTGATTCGCTTACACTTGAGGGTAAGCTTATGTTCTAGATGGAAGCAGTGTCCCTTTCATCTTTTTATCCTGGACATATATCACAAGCCCCAGGCACAAAGCTGGTTCCCATTTTTTTAAAGAATAAGTCATGGTTTTATATCAGAGCAACAGTTTGTATTCTTCATTATTAAAACACACTTAGATCATAATAATGCCACACCTTAAAATTAGTTCTCCGAGGGGAAAGCTGCTCTTTATTCTAAAGTAAATAGTAAAACTTTGAACAATCCTTACAGTAGTGATGTATTCTTGTATTCTTTTCATGATCTCCTATGACTTTCAGACATAAGACTCAATCAGCCATTATAAGACAAGTCAATTTTTAAAAGATATTTTTGTTTACTGAAAGGAATCAGGCTCACCTGGAGGTCTTCCTGTTCTTCAAAGGAAATATATGAGTAATTCTCCACTTTGGATGATATAGAATACAATTCCAATTAAATAAAAAGATGCTTTCTCATGTGGAACTATGAAGATGGTATTTCCATATCTCACATTCATATATAGTAAAAGAACAATTCAAATAAGCCAATATTTTCTCCTTTCTGTTGACACTTTATCCTGAGATTCAAAATTGTTTCTCTCTGGACCTACCATCACCAGCTCCAGGGTCAGTGACTAACGCTAGTCATTAAATTTACAATGGGCCTTTTCTTCTATTTCAGAAATCAGTAAGGTCAAAGCTGAAAAGATAATCAACAACCGTAAGTTCAGATACTTTTTAATTAAATGGATGTGATGATGTAAAACATATCAATTAAGATTTGTTATTCTGAATAAGACACAGTTCTGATTGTTTTACATGTAACTCATTCAATCCTCACAACAATTCTAGATAAGTATTATTATTATTTCTTTTGGAAGGACTGATGCTGAAAAGCTGAAGCTCCAACATTTTGTCACCTGATGTGAAGAGTAAACTCATAGGAAAACATCCTGATACCGGGAAAACTTAAAGGCAAAAGGAGAAGGGAATGGTCGAGGATAAGATGGTTAGATAGCATCACTGACTCAATGGACATGAATCTAAGCAAACTCTGGGAGACAGTGGAGGACAGAGGAGCCTGGGCAACCATAGTCCATGGGGTCACAGAGAGTCAGACGCGATTTAGCAACTGAACAACAAAAATTATTATTCCACTTTAGAGATGAGGAAACTGAAGCATAAAGAAGTGAAGTAATTTCCTTAAATTCATCCAGCTTGTAAATGATGGGGCCGGAATTCAGGCCATGGAGTCTGGTTGCAGCGTCCATGTACTTAACGGTGTCTTTATCCACCTTGCACATTTTCCATATCCTCCAAGTGCTGAAGAGTCTTGGAGATACTATGATGGGTAGGAAGGTGATCCAGGGGTTGCTAGTAATTCCTGTGTAGATTGCATTCTGTTTCTTTCAGTGAGAGACATTGTCAGATAGAACACAAGAATAACTCAGCTCAATCTCAGTTTTGTAATCAAACAGGATCTTTCTATTCTCAACAGTATAACACTGACTCTTTCTGACAGGCTGTGGGAGACGACCAAGGATGTCAGCTACCTATGATAGAATCAAGGGTGGATCCACTGCTCAGGAAGGAGAGTGGCCCTGGCAAGCAAGTCTCAAAAAGAACGGCAAGCACTACTGTGGGGCCTCTTTGATCAGTGACAGATATCTGGTGACTGCAGCTCACTGCTTTAAAAAGTAAGTTCATCATGTTGCCTGAGGTTAGGGCTTCCCTGGTGGCTCAGAGAGTTAAAGACTGCCTGCAGTGCCAGAGACCTGGGTTCGATCCCTGGGTCGGGAAGATGCCCTGGAGAAGGGAACAGCTACCCACTCCAGTACTCTTGCCTGGAGAATTCCATGGACAGAGGAGGCTGGTGGGCTACAGTCTGTGGGATTGCAAAGAGTCGGACACAACTGAGCGACTAACACTATTTTAGGGAGGCTAAATTAGTTTGCTGATAAATGTCCAGTTTACACCGGTTATCCCAGTGTAATCAGCAATAGGATTCCTTCTCATTCCCAAGTGTTCTGGTCTGAAACACAAATCATATGATAAGCCAATCTAAGGCTTTCCTACCTTATCAGTAAGATTGGAAAAAGTCATTCATTCTTGACATCTTATTTCTCACATGATTCTTATCTCTCATCACTTCATACTCCAGACATCCCAAATGACTTGCAATTGTTATCACACATAATCCTATTTCATACCTCCTTCCCACTCTGCACCTGCCTGTCTCCTTCTCTCCTTGTCTTTTAGGCAAGTATGACTTAGTTCTATAGTCTCATCAAAATACTACTTTTCCTAAGAAATCGTCCAGTCCCTAGAGCATGCAAATTTAAGTCCTCCTATTTTGTGGTCACACAACAATTTAGACAATGATAACTTTTTGTGTTCATGCCCATTTTTCATTAGATTTAAATTTCTTGAAGGCATGAACTATTTAATTTCTACATCTTAATCATCTTACATAGTGTAGGTATAGGGACTCAAAGAAGATTTTTCAAGTGAATTTTAAAAAATCAGATTGTATCACTGCTAATGGATTGCAAGGCAAGAACTTGTTATTAATGTCATGAAAAGACTATAACAGATGCAACCTGTACCTCTATTTCTCTGAAATAAATGCAAAATACATGATTTTTGTTTCTTTTAGTTCACGAGATCCAAGGAACTATACTGTCACCTTTGGCACCAGAGTAAATGTCCCCTATATGCAACACTATGTTCAGCAAATTTTTATTCATGAAAACTACATCAGGAGTGAACTTCATGATGATATTGCAGTTATATTGCTTACTGAAAAAGTTTTATATAAGAACGATGTCCATTCAGTTTGTCTTCCTGAAACCACACAGATTTTTCCACCAGGTGAAGGAGTTGTTGTCACAGGATGGGGAGCACTCTCACATGATGGTAAGTTAAGCTCTGAGTAGGAACTTAATATGCAAGGTACAAAAGAAACAAGGGGAAGCAAAATGATCTAGGGATAGAACAAAAGGATCATTTACCCCTGGAGGCCCAGTACTTCCAGGAAACGGTTCAAGGAAGGTGCATATGAAGTTATGACTTTGCAAATCCTGGATTTGGAACATTCCAAGGAGGCCAGTTTGGTCGTGTAAGCTCCTTGACCTAGAGGACCTAACTAAAAAGGTGCTGCTGCAAACATGTAAGAAGGGAAATAAGGACAAAGAAAGACAGCATTAGAAAGATGTTTCAAACTATTCTTTAAAATTTTCCTTTTCTTTGGTTTGAGTGAGGGAAAAGGGTATTTTCATTCTTAGACTGTGAAAGTGAAGTTGCTCAGTCATGCCTGACTCTTCAAAACCCCGTGGACTGTAGCCTACCAGGCTCCTCGGTCCATGGGATTTTCCAGGCAAGAGTACTGGAGTGGGTTGCCATTCCCTTCTCCAGAGGATCTCCCCAACCTAGGGATAACCCGGATCTCCTTCATCACTGGCAGACACTTTACCATCTGGGCCGCCAGGGAAGCCCAATTCTTTAAAAATCTCTTTTTCTTTGGTTTGAGTGATGGAAAGGGGCTTTTTCACTCTTAAAATAGAGTCAAATACATGTCTTATATAGAGATGACAAAGCTAATTTTCCATCCTGCTCTGCTAAAGAGCAGCTCTTTTGCTGATAATGTTTGTGTTCATTAGGTGCATACCCAGTATTACTTCAGAAAGCACCTGTGAAGATTATTGATACAAACACTTGTAATGCTCGGGAAGGATATAATGGGATGGTACAAGACACAATGCTATGTGCTGGGTACATAGAAGGAAATATTGATGCATGCCAGGTAAGTCCGGACATTATTCACACTGACCATATAGTATATAAGCAACTATTATTTTATGTAAATTATCAATATGCAAGTAATTCTGTGCTTCAGTTAATTTACTTTTTACAATCCAGTCAAACTCCCTCTCGGCTCTGGAGCTAAAGTAATTGTCTCCTACATGCCACATGTGCTTATAAATGTTTAACAAATACATGTTGGACTTACTCCGAGTTAAGCACTGACTGAAGTCCTTAACAAATACGAATCCACTTAATCCTCATCACAACTTTGTGATGTAGATGCTATCACTACTATCATTTTATAGATGAGGAAATTGAGGCAGAGGAAGGTAATTTGCGAAAGGTCACAAAGCTAGCATGTGGGAGAACAGGTATATAAACCAAAATAGCCTATCATCACACTCCATACTCTTAGCCATATTTCACTAAATTCTCAGTCTCAGAAATGTTTAAATTACTTCTAGGCTATTTCTTTTACTTTGTAGCCTCATGGCTACAGTTTTCTTACATTTCTCAGATATGAAGCTGCTACTCCAAATATATCCATAATATATGTCTCCCAAAGCGTTCTCATGGAACACTTATCAGTTCATGCTTCAAGACTGAAGTTTACCCCAAAGAGCCCCAAGGAATATATAGGCTAGTCCATCACAGTTGAGGTTAGATTTACATCATACACCCCACAGTCTCTATGAAGCATGAACCACAAACTCATCTGGGCTTACTACTTTGTCTATGTAAAGTATCTGGAGGTAAATTCTTCATAATGACAAATATTTTTTATTTAGGGTGACTCTGGAGGACCATTAGTTCATCCCAACTCTCGAAATATTTGGTACCTTGTTGGAATAGTGAGCTGGGGAGCAGAATGTGGTACAATCAATAAACCAGGAGTCTATACACGAGTGACTGCCTACCGCAACTGGATTGCCTCAAAGACTGGTATCTAAGAGGAGAGCATCTTGTAGTCACTGTTTTAGGTCATTTTTGCCTCTTACTTCTAAGCCTTATTTAACATGTATTTTAAATTGGTGTGTATAATAATTATTGTGAAAGAACTGTGGTCCTGAGGGAATATTTATGAACTTTAAGCAGACTCAACTCGACAGAACAAAAAATCTCATGTTTAGTTGAGAAAAGCCTAACTAAAGAAAATGTTCCTATCAAAATGTACCATTACTATTTGTTTTCTATTTCTCGTACCCACATCACGGTTATCTCTCCACACCATAACATTCTTGGTTTTAGTCATTCAGACTTTTTGGAATTGAGAAAATATGTCCTTGTCCACTGCAGATTAGCAAGCCTCACTCTAGGAAACTAAAACCAATACCTTCTGAGAGTTGGTTAGAACACACTGTATATGCCTTCCTTTCTATCTTTTGTGGAAGGGATGTAGCTGTGAACTAAATCTGGCCTGAATTTAGGCATGGCTTAGAGAATCTCCTATTTGTCATGGGGTCTTGATCAACTCTTGAAATCATTGTTTAAGAATTTCACCATAAGCATAATTAGGCAAAACACCTTTTTGACTTACAGAAACCAGGTACACTAATTCTGCTGTGTTCATATAGGCTTCTGTGGAGATTCTTCATTTGTAACATGTAAAAAAAGAGTAGATATGAACCATGAAAGTATATTTTAATTAAAACAAATTTAAAAGCAAACTCTCTTTGTTCAATATGACAATTTTTTTTCTTTTCTTTTTCTTCTTTTTTGGTTTTTTTTTTGTTTGTTTTCTAGTCTTTTACTGTTGACCTTCTCTCTCTCTCCTTTTTTTTTTCCCTGTTATTCTTGCCACTAGGTTCACGACTTGTGAACCATCTCCAGGGTGGTAAAAAAGCTACCTTGTTCATTCTATTAATTTCTGAGATCTTAATATTGAAACTCCAACTAAAAATCTTAATTTATCTACTTAAACAATTGTAATATATAGTGGAACTATATGTAATTTTGTTCTGTGTTTTCCAAGCCTCTAGTAAATTTTTTATCATATTTTACTAATTTAAAAAATAAAAAAGAAAGATAAAATGCAAAAAAGAAATCATCTTCAAGGCTTGAGAGAAAGGCTTGGGCAAGTGGCAGGGGGAGTAAGTGGTAGGGAGGTTAGGGGGTGGGGAAACAGTTGGTGTGGCCCTCAAAGGGCCCTGGAGGCTGGAGGTTCCTGGACACACTTGAGGATGATGCTGGCCCAGCCTCAGCAGAATTGGGGCTCCAGACAGCCTGTGGAGTTTGGTCTGGTGATCACACACAATCTAAATGAATTTCAGCTTGGAGTCTAGGAAGTGGCTCTCCAGGAAGCCACAGAGGTTACAGGCAGAGCCAAGGCATGCCTCCATTCCCAGGCCAAGGCAGTTTGCATAGTGGGCAGGCTGCCTCCCCACACATCAGGATTTCCTGGGGTTGGTGGCCATGCAGGTCTTGCATCTTCAAGAGATGCTGGGTGCCTGTGCACTGCTGGATCAACTCATGGAAAAAGCCATCTGGGGGTCGCTGTCTAGTGGGAAGGCAGGTCCAGAAGGAGAGAGGTGAGCCAGACCCACAGGAGCAGGTTGACCAGGCACTGACGGTGGCCTCTGTTTGGGAGGAATATGTCTACCTGATCTGGGGGCTTATGGTTTGTGGGCATCTAGGAGCCAACCTCACACCCCAAATGGTGATGGAATAACCAAGAAGAAAGCTCAAAAGTCAGAGATGTAGAAAATAAGTTTACAGAGAAAAAAGAGGAGGGGGGAGGTATAAGTTGGGAGATGGGGATTGACATATACCTACTACTACATATAAAATAGATAAGGACCCACTGTATAGCCCAGGGAACTCCACTCAATACTCTGTAATGAATATGGCAAAAGAATCTAAAAAAGAGTGGAGGTGATTCACTTTGCTGAACAGCCAAAATCAACACAACATTGTAAATCAACTATACTCCATTAAAAAGTCTTAAAAAAGAAGCTGAGAGCTGAGGAGGAAGTTGAGGGTGTTCAGAGTCTGGTGGGACAGATACCTTCCAACCAGAGACAGATCTGTACCCTGCGCCTATAGCTCCTGTTTTGAATATACTTGCTTCCCTCGTGGCTTAGCTGGTAAAGAATCCACCTCCAATGTGGGAGACCTGGGTTCGATCCCTGGGTTGGGAAGATTCCCTGGAGAAGGGAAAGACTACCCACTCCAGTATTCCTGCCTGGAGAATTCCATGGACTGTGTAGTCTATGGGGTCGCAAAGAGTCGGACACAACTGAGCAACTTTCACTCACTCACTCACTTAAAGTATATTCTGCTTAATTATGTAAACCGTTAATTTTTTTAAAAAAGAACTACTACTAATTCAGTTTCTCTATCCATGAAATGATAATTTTAAAATTATTTCCTGATAGCCTTGATATTATCATTATGTTAAGAACACTGCAAACTTTGGCACAGGTGCTTTTGATTAGAAACACATTTATTTTTAAAACTTCATTATACATTAGTTAAATGTGCATAACACACATGCAGTTAATGCATAAAAAAGGAAGCTTTAAATTGTTTGGAATATTTATGGCAATGTATATGATATAGTATACATATTAAAATTTTATATTTTAAAAATCTGAGATTAAGAAAGGGAAACAATGATGACTTGAAAGAGTTATTCCAGGTATTCATTCAGCTTGTATCAGAAGAAACATCAGAGAGCTCAGTGTCCACAAAGTCTGGAAACTTGATGTCCAGTCAACAACCCTAACACACTTTTTCTAAATTCTGGGAAAGAAGCTTCTTCTACAGCACTATGAAGTATTGCTGGATTGTTTTTGGTGATTTGTTCTTTTGTAGCCATCTTAACCATTTATCTCCTTGGCCTTATATTTATTCATTAGGCTTTTGGCATTGTCCTTGGTGGTGGCAGATTCTGTAATTGACTTTTCTATAAAACTAGTACCTAGATCCAGTTACTTTTCTACTGGACCTTTTTCAAAGTCTTGTCTTTTCAGTTTTAAGCTGCATATTTTTTCTTGAATCATTCATCCTCAGACACAAGATTATCCACATACCTCTTCAGACCTGCTAATATGTGTGTTGAATTTGTTAGTTCACTAGTTTATGATGTCCTTTGAGGCTTTGCTTCCAATTGTACATGGACTTTTTGGTTCACTCATTTTCTCAGAGTGTTGGAGACTTTCGAAAATAAAAAGCAACAGCAACAAAAAAAAACTTGAATTTGTGTCACATGCTTCTGCTAGAAAAGGCCACTCTTCTGGGAAAGAAGGGATCTTCATCCCTCAAGAGACTCTGAAGACTGGGTTTGTGAAGGCTGAAGATAAGTCCCTCCATTGTCCATGTTCTGTTGGGCTTTCATTTTTTCCTCTTTGCTTTTCTTTTTCAAAGTCTCCTATACAAGTAGTAGCTATTGCATGAGGCTTTGCAATATCTAGATAAGGCAATGGCAGCCCACTCCAGTACTCTTGCCTGGAAAATCCATGGACAGAGGAGCCTGGTAGGCTGCAGTCCATGGGGTCGCACAGAGTCGGACACGACTGAGTGACTTCACTTTCACTTTTCACTTTCATGCATTGGAGAAGGAAATGGCAACCCCCTCCAGTGTTCTTGCCTGGAGGATCCCAGTGACAGGGGAGCCTAGTGGGCTGCCATCTGTGGGGTTGCACAGAGTCAGACACGACTGAAGTGACTTAGCAGCAGCAGCAGCAGCATGCAATATTGCAATATCTGTTATAAATGAACTTGCTTGGCCTGTTTAGCTCACAGCTTCAAAAAGTTAGTTGACATTTCATAGCTTCTTAGTATTTCCTGTCAACTGAAAAATCCATATGCATTTCTACTATTGATGAACCATTGAGAGGTCCTTCCATTACTCTCTATTGTCTCTCAGATGAATATCAACATAGGAGCAATGGCCAAAATGACCTGGCACAGGGTCCATTCTATTAGGGGAGATCCATCAGGCTATTGTAAGGACTTCCATACTGCACCTGGGAACCTGGAATAGTGAGAGGTTTGCTAATTTCTTTGGAGACAGCATCTATTCTGAACTTATAAATGAGTTGCATGAGCCCTGTGAGCTTGAAGGTACTCTGTTATAATCTCTTTTCTCTGCACTCTTGTAGTCAACCTACTATGCTAGCTTTGCCAGATGCATATCCTTGATCTTAAATTATCTGTAGCAGTGGTTTTCAAACTTTGAGCTCTTAGGATACTTCTGTTCTTCAAATTATTGAGAATCCCAAAGAGCTTTGGCTTATATAGGTTATATCTACTGATATTTATCATATTCAAATTTAAAGTAGAAAAATATTTAATCCACTTAAAATAATAATAAACTCATTACATGATAACATAACAAAACTTTTATTTAAAAATAGCTGTAATTTCTAAGGGGTTTCCCTGGTGGCTCAGGCTGTAAAGAATCTGTCTGCAATGCAGAAGACCCAGGTCTGATCCCTAGGTATTTTCTAAGACAAAAATATGAGAAAAATGGAATTGCTTTAGTTTTGTAAATGCCTTTCATATATAGCTTAATAGAAGACAGCTGCATTCTCATCTCTGCTTAGTATTAAATTTGCTGTTTTGGTTAAAGTATATGAAGAAAATCTGCCATTGACACAGGCATGCAGCTGAAAAAGGGAAGAGTAAGGCAATATTATTTCTAGATAGTCTCCTTTGATAAGACTATTTAACAAGTGTAGCTTCTCCCAATGTAGAATTCAATGAAATTTTTGTGCTGTTATATTAAAACCCATTAGAAGACTTTGCATTCTGAGTGAATATTTTATCCAGATGTGATCCTGTTGCAGTATTTATTGGTCATTTTCAGTTATTCCTATGTTTCAAGTATTGACATCTTCTATTATATAATACCAAAAAAATATACTTATCAATATCAGAACTAATATCATCATAAAAATCTTTCATTATCTGGGGGGTCAAGCTCACATGACTGCATGCTAAGTAACTG